TTTTTCCCCCTCCCAACATGCCCGGTCTCAACATTCCCAGAAATACATCAAACCCACTTGGGTCGGTTGTAACTGCAGTAAATGTTGAACAAATACCAGGACTCAACACTCTTGGTATCTCCTTAGCTCGTATTGATTTTGGTTCGTATGGCCTCAATCCACCCCATACCCACCCTCGTGCCACCGAAATCCTTGTTGTCTTGGAGGGTACCCTCTATGTTGGCTTTGTCACTTCCAATTTGAACCCTGGCAACCGCCTCTTCACCAAAGTCTTACATGCAGGAGATGTCTTTGTATTTCCCCAGGGTCTCATTCACTTCCAATTTAACCCGGAAAAAACTAATGCAATTGCTTTTGCCGGTTTAAGCAGCCAAAATCCTGGAGTCATCACTATTGCAAACGCAGTCTTTGGCTCGACACCACCCATTTCTGTTGATGTCCTTACCAAGGCATTCCAAGTGGACAAAAACGTTGTTGAGTATCTTCAGAAACAATTCTGGTGGGACAACAACAACTAGAGAAGCTTTGCCATCTTCTACTTTTTAAAATTATTATAAGAATGAAGTGTGTGTGTGTGTGTGTGTTATGTTTTATGGCATTTGTACTACAAAGATTACTTTCCCCATATATATAATAAATTGCTGAGCTCATTATATGTACGGTTCTTCTCTTAGCAAGACTTTCTCGTTATCAAATATTGCGTTTGTTATGCATGGTTCATTTGTTACAAAGATTTTATGTTGTTATAATAATGAAGTTTGTTACATGCTTGTGTGCGTAATATATGAACTCGGATTAACCGAATTACAAATATTATTTGTTGCGGCGACGTTCAGATATCCATTGTGAAATTTGTTGGGCTCTGATGGCTATCTTAGTTGAATCCGCAATTACATCTAATAGAATTTAATAAATTTAGTGATGCATGATTGAACATGAAAAAAAAAATTAACAGTACCCACTTATGGACAATAATAATGGATCGGGATCAATACATCATCTCTCAATATTTAGAAACCAACGCATAAAGGGTATTGTATTTTTATACTATATCTTTAACTTTGTTAGCTATTATGCTTTATTGCCAAACCACAAGTATTAAAGTGTAGGTTTTAAAGTATAGAGAAGTAAAGATTGCTGGAGCCAACAATTCGGTGGGGGGGGGGGGGGGGGGGGGNGGGGGGGGGGGGGGGGGGGGGGGGGGGGGGGGGGGGGGGGGGGGGGGGGGGGGGGGGGGGGGGGGGGGGGGGGGGGGGGGAGGATTATAATGGGACATTCAAAATTTCATTAATCACTTTTTATGGGTCGCAATGACATTTACGAAGACTCAAATATTTTAGTTGTAGGTAATAAAATTTGTCGAAATTGGTCAAATTTAGGATTTAGATGATTAAAATCCATTAGTGTCATTCTGACAGAGATTTACTTTTCATGTGACGAGCAAGTCATTTCGTCAAATGGTCTATCAAATTCTCAATCAATTTGATATATGTCATACAAACTGCTCCGTCACCTTGGAGTTATATAATACTATTTGACGAAGTCTAAGAAATCTTTGTTTTCTATTATACATCTTAGTCTTTACATGAGCAAAGGTCGTTTGATTATCATAATAAACAGTGAACGATGGAGATGGATTTTTCCGCAGAGCAATTTCTATCATTATATATCAAATGCACACACCTTCGTCATATGAAACCCCATGAGCAACCAATTTGAATTCGATGGTCGAGTAAAACATATATCCATGTATGTTTGTGGATTCCCAAGAAATTGCTCCCTTGGATTTTCAGCCAGCGTTAGTATAATTTTCTAAAACGCATGGGTATTCTTGATAATGTAATCCTTGACTAATAGTGTCCTTTAAGTATCTACGTACTCAAGATTTTCCATTCAAATGTTCTTGGACTGGCCACCAATGAATCGACTTCGTGTACCGACTGCAAATGTTCTAATTCTTCTTTTTATTGACTTTACCAATTTGATATGGGATGGATTGCAGTTGACCGTTAACACATTACACATATAGCATCATATATNACTGGCCACCAATGAATCTACTTCGTGTACCGACTGCAAATGTTCTAATTCTTCTTTTTATTGACTTTACCAATTTGATATGGGATGGATTGCAGTTGACCGTTAACACATTACACATATAGCATCATATATATGTAGTAACATTGAAATCCATGGACATAGCTACTATGCATTACTTAATTTCTATTTAAAGACCCACGAGTTGAATATGGCTTTTCATATTGCTTTCACTNTTATGTTTTATGGCATTTGTACTACAAAGATTACTTACCCCATATATATAATAAATTGCTGAGCTCATTATATGTACGGTTCTTCTCTTAGCAAGACTTTCTCGTTATCAAATATTGCGTTTGTTATGCATGGTTCATTTGTTACAAAGATTTTATGTTGTTATAATAATGAAGTTCGTTACATGCTTGTGTGCGTAATATATAAACTTGGATTAACCGAATTACAAATATTATTTGTTGTGGCAATGTTCAGATATCCATTGTTAAATTTGTTGGGCTCTGATGGCTATCTTAGTTGAATCCGCAATTACATCTAATAGAATTTAATAAATTTAGTGATGCATGATTGAATATGAAAAAAAAAAATTAACAGTACCCACTTATGGACAATAATAATGGATCGGGATCAATACATCATTTCTCAATATTTAGAAACCTACGCATAAAGGGTATTGTATTTTTATACTATATCTTTAACTTTGTCAGCTATTATACTTTATTGCCAAACCACAAGGATAAAAGTGTAGGTTTTAAAGTATAGAGAAGTAAAGATTGCTGGAGCCAATAATTTGGGGGGGGGGGGGGGGGGNTAGTCTTTACATGAGCAAAGGTCGTTTGATTATCATAATAAACAGTGAACGATGGAGATGGATTTTTCCGCAGAGCAATTTCTATCATTATATATCAAATGCACACACCTTCGTCATATGAAACCCCATGAGCAACCAATTTGAATTCGATGGTCGAGTAAGACATATATCCATGTATGTTTGTGGATTCCCAAGAAATTGCTCCCTTGGATTTTCAGCCAGCGTTAGTATAATTTTCTACAACGCATGGGTATTCTTGATAATGTAATCCTTGACTAATAGTGTCCTTTAAGTATCTACGTACTCAAGATTTTCCATTCAAATGTTCTTGGACTGGCCACCAATGAATCTACTTCGTGTACCGACTGCAAATGTTCTAATTCTTCTTTTTATTGACTTTACCAATTTGATATGGGATGGATTGCAGTTGACCGTTAACACATTACACATATAGCATCATATATATGTAGTAACATTGAAATCCATGGACATAGCTACTATGCATTACTTAATTTCTATTTAAAGACCCACGAGTTGAATATGGCTTTTCATATTGCTTTCACTCGGTTTTATTGGAACCCAAAAAATTCTAATGGAATAATACAAACAACTCAATCACGCATGATTAAACTTGACCGAACTTAGGGATTCAATGCTGATAAAAGAATGTTCCATTCGATCTGTAAATTGCTGATTCTAATTTCCTATCCTTTTGAGATTTAAAGCTAGTCTTTTACCAGCTAGGACAGCCCCAGATCTCATCTTACTACACCATCAGGATGCAATAAGCAATCTAAAATGCATTTTCTTCTTTTGTTTCGAGTATAATATATCCAGACAAGACTCTAAAGTCCGTTTGGCAGGATGGATGAGAAAATAGAAAGATGAAAAAATAAAAAGTTGAAAAATGGAAGTGAAACACTTTCCATCGGGAAGAATCATTCATTTCCTCAATTATGTTTGGTAAGAGAGAAGAAAAATAGAAAGAATTGAATTTTGGGAAAATCCTAGTTTGCCCCTTAAAAGATACAAATTTTTTCACGTTGCTCCCAAATGATTAATCTTTCCATATTGCCCCCTGAAAGACATTAAAAAGTTACAATATAGTAAATCGTCATTTTTTCCGTTTGTCGTCCGTTTGGTTTTGTTATCACATGATTTGCACGTGATAATAGGTGGGGATGTATTGTAAAATCATTGTCTATGCAAAACCTTGACTTCATCTGCCCAAGTGATTTGGGTAATCTACTCTCTGTGTGTGTGAGCGAGAGAGATTTGGGTTCCCAGGTTTGTTCGTGGAAGAAGAAGATCCAGAAAGTAAGNTGTGTGTGTGAGAGAGAGAGATTTGGGTTCCCAGGTTTGTTCGTGGAAGAAGAAGATCCAGAAAGTAAGAGAAGAAGGAGAAATGCAATCCATATGTTACTATGGTAGAACACCCGAAACGAAGACATCGGGGATAGATTTGAACCCAGAAAGGAGATTTATCACATGTGCGAATAACAAGGTACGTTGTTCCATTATTCATCTTTAGTTGGTTTGTATCCATATTATTTAGCAAGATATTGGTGTTCAAGCAACTGATTCTTACAACTTGTATTTGATAAATTAGGGATTTTTTAAACTAGAGTTAGTTTTATTTCTTGAAAATTATGTTTTCTGCACATTGAACAACTTATTTTACCAATTTTAGTGCGTACTACTGATGGTTTTGATCAGTTTTGTTTCAACATTTCTTAAGGTTACAGCTAAGTGTGGTTACTTTCTATGGATTGATCCCCCAATGTGTACTAGATCACGCCAAATAATTCTGGGTTTGCTGCATCGTGTTACACGTTTGGAAGAGCAGTTGGAGCAATCTAGAGTAAGAGAGAGGATGCTTTGGTGCTGCATGATTGGTTCCTAGTTTCTCATTGTGATCATCTATGTATACATGAATGCAACTGATCGATATGGCTCAGCCGTGGAGGTTCCAAATGGAGATATTTTGCCATTGCAACTATTGTGAATGTGTATCCAGGAAGTAGAAGCTGATGGATGTTTTGCCATTGCAACTGTTGTGAATGTGTGATGGGTGAAGTGAAGCTAGGTGAAACTGATGAATTTTTTTTGCTAAATTAGATCTTTTCTTGTCTGTAATCTAATGATGGTTGTTGTAATAAAATATTGAAGTTATGTAATATTATGATTCATTGGTGAATTTGTGTACCCATGAATCAACCTAGTTTGTCATTCTACTAAAAAGTGCATATTCATTTCACAAAAAATGCATATTCATTTACCAAAAAATTGTTGCAGTTCAGCTACATTACAAATATGTATAACAAAAGAAACAACTAGCTGATATATTTTAACAAAAGAGACAGCTAGCTTGTATATTTTAACAAAAGAGACAACTATCTGGTACGTTCAACTTGTGTTCAACTTGCTGGTATGTTCAACTTGATTGTATTTTCACCTTGTGTTCAACTTGGTCTGGGATGAACTACATTCTTCTGTGGTAGACTGCTTGCTGGCTTCCAACTACCTTTTGATACATTACTTGGTGTATTCCAGGTTGATTTTTGTGATGCTGATGGTGTTCTCCAAGCAAACTCAATGGAAGTAGATTCTGATCGTGCTCTCCAACCAGATTGGATGGAGGTAGATGCTGATGGTGCTCTCCAACCATGCTGAATGGAAGTAGATGTTGATGGCTTCTTGATTGATTTGGTTGATACAANGGAGACTGCTTGCTGGCTTCCAACATTACTTGGTGTATTCCAGGTTGATTTTTGTGATGCTGATGGTGTTCTCCAAGCAAACTCAATGGAAGTAGATGCTGATCGTGCTCTCCAACCAGATTGGATGGAGGTAGATGCTGATGGTGCTCTCCAACCATGCTGAATGGAAGTAGATGTTGATGGCTTCTTGATTGATTTGGTTGATACAATTGTAGGTTCAGATTGTGATCAATTGTTCCTCCTTCTAATCAGTTATTGAATAATAAAAATTAGCTCATTTATTAAAAAATAAAAACAGGCATGATAACAAACATAAAATGTTTCATATCTTGCAGGCAACTTCTGTTTGCCAATTGGAACATTCAATGTTGGAGATTGGGATTGAGATGGACGTGGACATGCAAAATTGGGGTTTCTAGTTTCTGAGTCAGTTACAAGTTTGTCCACCTTAACNGCTTCATATCTTGCAGGCAACTTCTGTTTGCCAATTGGAACATTCAATGTTGGAGATTGGGATTGAGATGGACGTGGGCATGCAAAATTGGGGTTTCTAGTTTCTGAGTCAGTTACAAGTTTGTCCACCTTAACATAAAATATACATTAAAACTGAACTGTTCTTCTTAATTCTTGGACTTGATTATACAAGTTGCATTTGAGTTGGTTCTTCTTAATTCTTCACAGTAATCCCATAATAAACTGAATTGTTATTTGTCTGTGCCACTCACAATTGCCATTGCCTTATGTTTAGCTTTATATACCTTGTTTCTTCCTAAGTTTAGAACATGATCTTTTTGTACAGTTTCCTTGAAGNCGTGATTATACAAGTTGCATTTGAGTTGGTTCTTCTTAATTCTTCATAGTAATCCCATAATAAACTGAACTGTTATTTGTCTGTGCCACTCACAATTGTCAATGCCTTATGTTTAGCTTTAAATACCTTGTTTCTTCCTAAGTTTAGAACATGATCTTTTTGTACAGTTTCCTTGAAGGATTTCACGGACCATGTAGGGTTTGATCTCAATCTATCAACATATGTATATGCAATCCAGTTTGAAGCTATGTTACTCGGACGCAGGTGCGGGTATTGGGTGCGGGTGTGAATTTAGGTGTCTGATATCTCAAGTCAAAAAATTGTGGATACTAGGATATGGATCCAGATTTGGATATGGGTACTGGTATACGATCTAATTTTATTTTGTAAGAAATTATTTATGCATTGTTTAGAGTTAAAAAATTGCGTTCAAGAAACAACAAAATATAGAGATGTCATTATTTATTAATAAGCTTGATACTAAAATTTGGTGGCTCCATAATAGCAATTGATCTGGGTCTTAAATAGATCAAAAGGACCCAAAAATTTCAAACATTGTTCCCAGATTACATAACCCAAAACAGCATAAAGTAGTACTCCTTAGTCTAGCCTACTTAAAAAGGAACTACTCCTTATTCCATCATACTTAATACTTAATACTTAGTCTAGTTGCAACTTGCAAAAAGACTTTTAATTTTCATCTTCATCTAGCTGTCCATCATGTGCCTTCACCCTCCTCACCATCCTCAAAAGCCATCATCTCCAACTCAGGTTCATCAAGAGAAAATTGTGCATGCTCTCCCACTTCTTGGCCTTCAATGTCAAACTCATCTCCACCTAAAAATTATCAATATATATATATATATATATATATATATATTATCGAAATGTGATATATAGTGCAGATACTTGGATTGTTAAAATAAAAATAAACTTACTTATGTCCCAATATTTTGAAGGTCCATCTTTGTACTCCTTGCTCTTCCTTGAGTAGGCGAAGATTGCAATGCACAAACACCAAGTCTTCAGCACGGCTAGTTGCTAGTCGATTTCTAGGATATGGATCCAGATTTGGATATGGGTACTGGGATACGATCTAATTTTATTTTGTAAGAAATGATTTATGCATTGTTTAGAGTTAAAAAATTGCGTTCAAGAAACAACAAAATATAGAGATGTCATTATTTATTAATAAGCTTGATACTAAAATTTGGTGGCTCCATAATAGCAATTGATCTGGGTCTTAAATAGATCAAAAGGACCCAAAAATTTCAAACATTGTTCCCAGATTACATAACCCAAAACAGCATAAAGTAGTACTCCTTAGTCTAGCCTACTTAAAAAGGAACTACTCCTTATTCCATCATACTTAATACTTAATACTTAGTCTAGTTGCAACTTGCAAAAAGACTTTTAATTTTCATCTTCATCTAGCTGTCCATCATGTGCCTTCACCCTCCTCACCATCCTCAAAAGCCATCATCTCCAACTCAGGTTCATCAAGAGAAAATTGTGCATGCTCTCCCACTTCTTGGCCTTCAATGTCAAACTCATCTCCACCTAAAAATTATCAATATATATATATATATATATATATATATTTTATCGAAATGTGATATATAGTGCAGATACTTGGATTGTTAAAATAAAAATAAACTTACTTATGTCCCAATATTTTGAAGGTCCATCTTTGTACTCCTTGCTCTTCCTTGAGTAGGCGAAGATTGCAATGCACAAACACCAAGTCTTCAGCACGGCTAGTTGCTAGTCGATTTCTTTTCACACTTTGAATTACAGAATGGGTGCTCCAATTCCTTTCACAGCAAGAATAAGATGTTGGCTGTGAAAGCAATTTAAAGGCCAAGGCTTGTAGCAAGGGTGATGAAGCCCCATGATTGGCCCACCAAGAAATAGGTTCCTCAAACATTCTTACATCGACAACATAAGCTTGGCCGAAATAGTCAGACCAACTAGAAAATGCTCCATATTCAGCATACACCTTTCGCAAATCAGCTTGATTAGGAAAGAGCCTTTTAAAATACTCCCTCTATTTAGGGAGACTTCCTGATCTTCATGTGGTGCTACCCGTGCCACTCCATTACCTCCATTATTCAGCCAAGCATTACAATAGTACTTCGGGACCAATGAATGTGCCATACAATGCAAAGGAGTATTACTTTTGTTCCATCTCCCCTCCAAAATTTGGTGAACAACATCAAAAAAGTCCGATTGACCAATAATCATGTCTTTTCCTTCATGTTCAAAAATCCTCCTTTTGACATTGTCAATCATAGTATCCCAAATATCATATACTAGATGCAAAAATGGGGTGTTTGTGTCAGCTATTCTCAACATGTCAATGATAGGTTCAATAAAATTTAGAAGATAATCTAAATCATCCCAAAAAGTGTCATCAACAATGCATTTTTTCACATCACGAGCTTTATTTTCAGCAACTGTGTTTCCATCTACCCTATATGTTTTCCAGTTTGGATCCAAGACCATTTTTTCAAGAGATTCTTTAACTTCCCTTAACTGTTTAGCCATGATAAAGCTTGATGCAAATCTAGTTTCAGCCACAGTTAGCAATTTCAGTTTAGAGTACTTAGTAAATAGGAAATTTGTTGTGCCATGGTTGAGAATAAAATTATGAATATCTTGCACTTGCTTAACCAAGTCTAAAATCCACTTACGTTGGGCATGCTGAGGTGATTTTTCTACTGTGTCGCAGATGCTCTTCAACGCCAAGTTGAGACTGTGCATAACACATGGAGTCCAAAAAACATGTGGGTATTTGGTTTCAATGCTCAACCCCGCAGCCTTGTAGTTCGATGCATTATCAGTTACAATCTGGACCACATTCTCTTCTCCTAATTCCTTGATCATTTGCATGAACAAATTTGCAATGTAATCTACATCTTTGGTATTTCCACTAGCATCAATGGCTTTTATGAACATGGATCCTCCTGTAGATGCTGCTATTATGTTGATCAGAGGCCTCTGATGCCTATCAGACCACCCATCAGATACCACTGAGACACCTCTCTTATTCCACGTATCTTTGATTGGTTGCAACAGCCTATTGACATGTTATTTTTCCTGGTACAACAAAGTTGTTTGCAGCCTATTGAATGTAGGAGGAACATAACCAGCCAACCTGCAATTTCCAAGGATTAGTATGTATTTCAAAAATAGGTGGGATCACTGGGATGCGCAAAAATTAAATAGAAATAGAAAGGATGAACATGACCCCATACCTCGAATTTCCAAGGGTTAGTGAGTACTTTCGAAAATAGGGAGACCTTGCAAAATTAAATGGCAAACCACTGGCGTAGAACATCCGAACAGTTTCTTTGTCAGCAACATCTCTGTCCACAACATTGAATGCCTAAGGTAAAGGACCTTGAGGGGCCATTCCCTTATGTTTTTTTTGTTGAAGGTCAGTAGCATTTGGTATGGTGACATAATCTGCCTTTTTCCTTGCATTCACAGCTTGTTGATGCTTTTTAGTTTTAGTTTCTTCATGCTCCTTTATGGCTTTCAATACATCATCACTTATGGTAGGACAACTTTCAACATTGTGGTGAGAAAGCTTCATCAGGTGGCCTTTGACCTTTGTGTATGACCCAGCAATTCTCTTATTGCAGTAATTAAACACCCAGATCCGATTTTCACCTCCACCCTCAGCCACATTGACAAACTTTACATGATTCCACAAAGGCTTATCGTCAAATGTAGCTCCTAAAGGCGTCATTGGACGATTGACTTTTTTTGTTCCTTTAGNCGACCTTTGTGTATGACCCAGCAATTCTCTTATTGCAGTAATTAAACACCCAGATCTGATTTTCACCTCCACCCTCAGCCACATTGACAACCTTTACATGATTCCACAAAGGCTTATCGTCAAATGTAGCTCCTAAAGGCGTCATTGGACGATTGACTTTTTTTGTTCCTTTAGAAGAAGATTGGGATGACTGGGATGAAGACATTTGTAGAGAGTTTAACCGTGATCGTTGCAAGAGAGGAGAGGATTTGACAGAGTATGGAAGCTTGTTCTAAGATCTCTGATTTTCGGTCAGAGACTACTGATTTTCAGTCAGAGACTATACTGTCTATGCATGGTCTCTTTGTTTTCCAAAGCTTTGTTCCATTCTCCCAGAATCACGTTGATGCTTGGGCTGCCATATCAAGGTCTCATAATCTTCCCTTATCATAGACCGTTCGCATGGCTTATCACAAGCCTTTCAGTTGATGCTTGGGCTGCCTTACCAATTTTTTATTTCTCTTTTTTTTTTGNCTGTTCGCATGGCTTATCACAAGCCTTTCAGTTGATGCTTGGGCTGCCTTACCAATTTTTTATTTCTCTTTTTTTTGATTTGATGAATTAAATATTTATGAGATGAAATTCCATGTTACTTTAGTGTTAATTTAATAAATTAATTTTTATTGGATAATTTTGGATGTTAATTTGATGAATTTGAATATAAATTGGATAATTTTGAATGTTAATTTGGTGTTAATTTTATTAATATTAATTGGATAAAATTAAATGTTAAGTTGGTGAATTTAATGTTAACTTGTTTAATTTCAATGTTAATTTGATGAATT